CCCCAAAACCCCAAAACCCCACAAAGATGAATGTTTGATTAATTAAAATTTTAAAATACTAAATTCATGTTCAATTTTATAAAAAGAAAAAATTAGCTATTAATAAACTTTAATTATATAAAAAATGTTTGGCCCTATTATTGTTTGCAATGCCGTTTACACTGGAGATCTTGATGTCAAATAGCCTGCTGTCGTTAATTTGAGAAAAAAATTGCAGGAGGAAAGAAAAAGACATTAAAAAAGAGAAGATGATTTGAAGGAAAAGATAAGTGTTTTGAATTACAAATTTTACAGAGTTAAACTAATCAACTTCTATTTTGACATTATCTGTGACAAGCTAGTACATTAAAAGACATAAGCTATAGCTGTTGATTTTGATAGAGTTTGAGCAGTTTAAAGCGAATAAGAAGAATAAAAGCAGGACGAGATTAGAAGAGAGAAAATTTCTGAATTAACAGAAGAATTTTAATGTAATATTTTGGATGCTATATCTAAATCTGGTTATAAACATGAAATTCTCATAAAGCCTCCTTAATTCAATTTAGAAAAAGAACTTAGCGAGGAATAAGTTAAGGAAAACACTGAAAAGTTTATAAAATTTCATATGACTGCTATTGAAGCAGGAAATAGGTAAGGTTATGAATCAATAGCCATTCCAGCTTGCTTAAAAAGAATGAAAAACATATAAAGAAAGGCTGATTTATTTGAGAAATCCCTAAGTGCAATAAATTAATATGACAATAGTAATGAATCTAAAGATGGATCATTAAAAATTATCAAAATTATCATTGAGGACTATAAGGATCGTGATTTATTTTTTGATATCGCAATGAAAATGTTTGCTAAGGATTAAGTTATATCAGTTCATAAAGAGCAGTAGACAATAATAGAGATATAAGATTAATATTAATAAACTTAAATAGAATTTATCGATTCTCAACAATAAACCTCTTTAGAAGTAATTGATTAAGAGTAATAAACTTAAATTCAGGCAGTTGAATAGGAATAGTAAACTATAATACAGGCTATTGATTAAGAACAATAAACATCAATTGAGGCAATTGATTAAGAATAATAAACCGATATTTTAGAAAATGAAATAATATTTTAAAATTGGACTGCATAATAAAAACGATAAGAAATTGATGACCATATTTACAGTGATGATTAAGTAAAAAATCAATAGTAAATTGAGATTAAACCAAACGCTCCTAAAGTAATTTGCCCACTATGTCTTCTTGATATAGATGAAAATGAAGAGATTATGAGTTTGCCTTGTGGACATTAATTTCACTAGATCTGTTGCTGCTCTTGGTTATCTAAATTTGAAGAATGTTCTGAATGCATTTGACCTTAATTATTTGAAAAGTGGTTTTAAAGCTCTTTTAACCTTATTAATGATTTATTAGCTACAAGCAATATAAATAAATCACAAAAGTTTTAATTCAATTATAATGAGTTAACTTTATAGTCAAAATTTATTCATGAGGGGTTTTGGGGTTTTGGGGAGATCGGAAGAGCACACG